AAGAAGGTCGAGAGCTGCTCTCAGACCATACAAAAGCTGGATGGAAGGAGTATACGGCCAATAAGTTCCCAGCTTGTAGAACTTAAGGTAATCGCTCCAGTCAAAGAAAACTCTCACTGATTTTGCAGTTTTGCTGGCCTCAAGAGCCTTGGGGCTAGCACAGACTATCCCGAGCCCCGTGGGAAGGGAAAGTGCTTTCTGGGAACCAGTAAGTGCCACATCTACACCCCATTCATCCATACGGAAATCAAGTGCACAAATTGAGGACACTCCATCAACAAGGAAGAGGGCAGGATGCTGGTAGTGATCTGTCAGGCATCGACAGAAACAAGCACGGAACTTCAGAGATAGTGAATTTCATACATACTTTTCGTTATCTGAATTCAATTTTTCAAAGAAAAATTGCCATAGTTTAGATACATTACCGAGTATTTTCCTTACAGTAGCCAAGTTGTTGGTAACTCCAGTGGCTGTCTCGTTATGCACGATGCAAATCGCCTTGATGGTATGCGACTTATCTTCTGCAATTTTCGAGGCCAAAACCTCAAGATTTGCACCTTGGCCCCAATCACTCTCAATAACATCAACGTCAAAGTTAAGTCGTTTCTGTTGATCAATCCAAAGCAGACTGAACTGACCGATGAGGAACGATACAGTTCTATCACCAGGAGACAACGTGTTCGTGAGTGCACTTTCCCATGCACCAGTTCCTGCCACATGGAAACAATATGAAGTTTGGCCATCACAAGTTCGACAGTTGAGCCACAAGAACTACTTAAAATTATACGTTCATCGATGTTGTTGCAGAAATTACTGCAAAGCCATCACCTTTTGTTTATTGTTATAACAGAAGATGGACAAGATCAATTTAAAAAGACTCATCGAAATACAACAACAGAACGACTATGCCTCAGTCACAAGCAAGTTGAGGTCGGCAATATGAATCTCTACTACTCATGTCGCTCCATTCAAGCTCATCTCAACTCAATATGATATAACATTAGACCGTTCACTAAATTTTCTATTGACATATAAATCTCTGACAGGACTAAACGAGTCCTTAAGAATATTGAACCTAAAGCAAAAGTACTGACATAACTAAGGCTTAATCTCAAACTGTTTGGTATGCCTATATAGATCTTTTTCTTCAAATTTGTCATATTTCACAGGCAAAAGATTCATCCTAATGCTAAAATAAGATCTTATCTCGTCATTTTTAACTCCTACATGGATAATCAAGACGACTAAAACCAAAGCAACTTGTATTTCCCCTGTATGGAAAATTGAAATAAGTAGCAAACTATGCCAAACCAAACTCGTTCGGATGCAAATAACAAGAAGATACCTGTAGTTGGGAACAGAAATGGAGTTCCACTAGTAGTCTTGAAAATCTTCTTCACATCCTCAAGCAAGGTCTTTGTGAGAGCTGGAACAGCTGGGGACCTGTAATCTTCGTTGTTTCGGTTCATAGCACGTAGAACTTGTTCCGGGATATTAACAGGTCCCGGAACAAACAAATGGTTCCTTCCAGGTCCATTAACATAGTCCATTTTCTCCCCCTTCAAAAATTCACCTTATGCCTTCAATATATCCACACAAAAAAAAACTTCCAATTACTACACAATTTCTACAAAACAAAACAGAAAGGCAAATAGGAACAAGAAAAACAGATGTTTTACCACTTGTATAGCTAGACAAAACACTAAACAAATACATATTTTCTTATAACGGTGGTGTCTAAGTCAGCGTGTGGCCACTTCAACTATTCCATCAGTTCAAACTTTGAACTGAGGTTTTCTATAGTGTTTCACTCACTTCATTAACCGCTAGCCACACCCTACGATCAACATTCAATTTTCCGTTTCTCTTTTAATTTCAACAAAGAAAAGACTCATTGTTTCCCACTAATTAACTCAGTTAAGCATTTTGCACAATATCAGCCTAGATGTTAGGTAATTAGTAATGAAAATGTCAAAGAAATGAAAAGGGGTGTAAAATTATCAATAATTAAATTCTGTGAACATAATTTTTTAAATCTACTAATATTATTATTCCATACATCTTTACAACTTCAAGAATCCTGTTTATTTTTTGGATTTATATACCCCAAAATAAAAAAGTTACACTGTCAGTAGACTCAACTCAACCGGTTATAGCATGTTATTACTCTATTTTTACGATATCAGACAATCATACTCAACTTCTTGTTATATTTGAACTTAATATTTACCCTCTTAATTGCACATAACATAAATAACAATAACATACTCAAGAATAATCCCACAAGTGCGTTCAGGGGAGAGTGGTGTGTACGCAGTCTTACCCCTACCTTATGAAGATAGAGAGATTGTCTCCAATAAAGCCTCAATTCAAGTAAAGCATAACAAAATCAAGTATGAAAAGAAACATAGTAGTGAAGTAGTCGTGTTGAACATAGAGAAGAAAACAATAGCGACAATAAATACTAAAATAACCAAAGCAAAGAAAAACAGCTGGTAATAATAAAATTTAGAGTAATATTAATAGTAAACGTTCGACTACCTACTACTCTTCTACCCTAATTCTCTATCTACGGTCATTTACTCGATAACCTGCAAACGTACCTCTCCTCAATATTCTTCAACCTACCTCTACCTCTCCTCGTACTCATCATAACCAACCTCCCAATGCACATAACATAAACTCGTAAAACACACACTCAATACAATTTCTCGACGAAAGATGTTCAATTGAGTACCTTTCACTAGGCAACTCGTTGTAGGTAAAAATTAACAATTATAACATCAGTGCATAAAACATAAACTCATATATACACATGCATAAATATATATATGAAGTAAGAAGAGACTATGTACCTGAAATGCAGTTATAATAAGTAAAACAGGCTCAGAGAAGAGCAGAGAAGCAAAGCCAAATGGAAATATGGAAAGTCCAAAGCAACAAATACAAATTCTTATACCACTCAACTCTCTATGTGGGTCCCACTTTGGAGTTGACGTGGCAGATAAGTGACTTACGTGGATGCTAATCCTGTGGCTTAAAATAGTGAATTTTGATTCGTCCAATTTTTTTATTATTTTTGGTTTATTTACTTCTAAAAAACCATAATTTTTGTCTCAAATATTTAAAGAAAAAGATCATTCTATCATTAATAACTTATTTATTATAAAGTTGTTTTGTATAATAACGATAACATACTCCATGTAATCTCATAAATAGGGTCTAGAAAGAGTGGCATGTACACGGTCTTGGTCCCATGTGAATTTAGAAATGTCGTTTTCGATAGATTTTTAGCTCAAGTATATAAAAAACAAGTATGAAGAAGAAAAATGAATTAACCTGAGACAATTATTCACATATGTATTTATCTTTTTGAGACGTCGAATAATTTTTTAAAAAGAATATTTTCAAAATAACAAAAAATATAGAAAGGAAGTAATTAATGGTTTAAGAATAATCCAAATGTGGACCTCTCCACAATTTGAGGGTATAGCAAAGCACCACACGTCTCCTCTCTTCCTCACTATCCGCTTAGTCGCACTCGATATTTATATTAAATCAAATAATTAGACTTTAAACTTTTTATTTACATAAATATCTATCACTCATTTTAAATAATAAAGTTTAAAAATTGTTTTTCCTTTCTTAAATTTTGCATTCAGTTAAAAAGTATCACGTAAATTGAGACGAAGAATATAATATGTGGAGAAAAAAATGAAAGAGCTTATCAAGATGGCTAGAGAACACCTCGTGATGAAAAATAAAAAGAAAAGCCATATTATTATTATTATTATTATTACTCACAAGAGCATAATACAGGACCACATAAACACTTAATTTAGTGTATGAGGTTGAGAAAGAATTTGTGAAAAGATAAGATGATAAAAAGGCCTATATGAACCACTCCCTCATTTGTGGAAACCAATAGCTATACCTAGCAAGTTTCATATATTTTTGTTATCTTCTTACTTTCCTTTTCATTGGTTTGTTTTTATTTCTATATTTTAGCCATTTGTTCTAATGTCTCATCCAAATTATGTCTTTATTTAAAAAAAAAATTGGCCTTGCACCCTTTAGGTAAGTGGTCAAAATCAATCATGTTAAGTCGCGATAGCCAGTGTTAACCTGATGCCTTTGTTGGTGGTGAGTAATAGATACTCGATAGATTAGTTGAGACGCATGCAAGTTGAATAGAACATAACCATTATAAAATAGAGTATTTCACACTCTTAGTTTAACTAGTGAAATGAAGGAGAAGTTTTCCTAACTAAGTGCAACTTATAATGCTATAGAAAGAAGGTTTGGAGAATGACTCAATAAAGTTACCTAATAGAGATATTGCGTAAGGATTACGATACAATAACTATGTCTTAGTTCCAAATAAGTTGAAATCGTTTATATGAATCGTCACTTTACCATGAGCTTTCTTTGCTTTAATTTCCTTGTAACTTTTACCTCTTTCTGGCAAGGGAAATGAGAAAATGACAGTCCAAATAAAGGAAAAGCTTCCAATAACTGCATTCCAAAAATACTCAGTTACAACATCTATACAAACTAGATCGATATTTTCCTTTGGGCAAAGGCCCTCAGGTGCGCGTAAAGTCCTATTGTCTTGACATAAACAAAAGGAAGGTCTCTTTTGCCTACGCCTTTTGCATTGTTATCAGAAGGCGACATAATAAGGGAATGTAAACAGGCAACAAGACAGCAAAAGGGAAAGAAGAGAAGAAATTAACACGAGTAGTTGAAGATAACAACAACAACATACCCAGTGAAATCCCACAATCCCACAAGTAGGGTCTAGGGAGGGTAGGGTGTACACAGAACTTACACCTACCTCGTAGATGTACAGAGGTTTTTTCAGAAGGACCCTTGGCTCAAGTGCAGCAAATCAAAGTAGTTATGAAAAGGGAAAACGACAGTGGAAAACATAACTAATAAGCCATAGTAAACACAAAACACAAGCAGATGAAGATATCACCCCAGAATTTCTTTGCATAAAGTGACTTCAATCCCCTTTACATCCTTTGTAAAGAAGTAACTTCAGGTAAATCAACAACTGCCAGTTTAATATAACACATTTCCGGGCATTATACCAGACTGAGAGGGGTGAAATCTTCCAGAGGAGTACTACAATGTTATAAGAAAGAAAAAAAAAGATAGCAAGATAATCCAATACCAAAACGGACAACACACTGTATAATTTCTGACTTCAGCATAGCATACTTTGGTAACATCTTTCACCAAATTGTCCCAGCTTGATTATTCATTGGAAGTAATCATTGGAACAATAGAATTATCAACCAATGAGAGCCACTCCGGATCTGTCCACGGCCTGAAGGCACCTTTTTGTGTGAGATTCTAGCAACCACAAAAGAACAATCATGGAGTTTATGTTGTAAAACTAAACGTGTCAAGTACTAATAATGTGATGAACAGAACATAGTAAGAAGCAGAGATATTGTCTCAAATATGGGATTATTGTAATTGCTGTTTAAATAAAAAGTACGGAATTTATGTCTCATCAATCCATCAGAACGACATTCCTCAGACTAGACGAATGAGATCAATGCTCAAGTCACTCTTATAACAGTTGCACCTAACCAGCATGCGAATATGAAAGTTAAGTTGTTTTAAAAGCTTCAATTGGATTCTAACGGAAACCAAAAAGAAAAAAAGGTTTATCTTCAATTGGATCAAGTCACCAATTATCAGAACATTATTATTCTGCGAGTCACGTGAAAGTTTGAATTAGGTAAATCAAAAGTCAGACAAGATGCCAAAAGCAATTGTGATTTGTCTTATATCAGCATACTTACTACAACAACAATAACAAATCTAGTGTAATCCCACAAGTGGAGTCTGGGGGCAAACCAGAAAGATAAAAAAAGTGTGGGGAATTAAGCTTAGAGTAAGTGCACTCACAAAATTAAATGAGACACAACTCATGATGGAATTCCAACTAAGCAAAATTACTTACTAATGAGGTCAGATGAATATAATATGTTACTTACTATTAATAAAAGGATTATGTTGTTAATTGATTTCTCCAGAAATCTAACTGGACTAGCAATTATACAATTGTGAAGTGCGTTAAGCTGTGTATTTAAAATGGATGTCCATAAAACAATTTATTTTTATATTGATCAGTTATTCCGGAAGTCATTGTAAGTGTATTCCCAAAGTCACTGAGAGAGGAAGCTCCAGATGCTTTTGGATGGGCGGCCTTCTAGGACCTTCCCATGCAGGTTCACGCTACCACACAAGGAGGGGGGGGAAGCATGCGTAGTGGTGTTGGCCCTAGAGGATGTTGCTATGACGGAGGACGCACGAGGCAATGAAGTGAGGGGATACATGATGAATGCTCCCTATCAAAAAGGGAGACTATGATGTATGCTGTAGACATGACGAACATATGTAGGCGGCCAAGAAGTTCAGCCAAAGGAATGCATTACACAATTCATTATTCAAAATATGAGCAACTCACCTGTAACCAAAAGAAAAAACCGCGCAAGATGTTTAGCTGCTTTATGTTGTCGTTGTCAACTTCTTTAAGTTTTTCATGAAGGTCTGCAGGTTTAAAGGTGGACAATCAATACATAATGCATGTACAGTGAAACTTAAATAACGATTGACTGAATCACAGAGATCAAATGCTGTTTATAGTATATAACTGCAGAGAATACAGAGAAAAAGTTCCCAAGAAAATTTAAGTGAAGGCAAAGCATGGTTGGATGGAATCAACTTTTGGACAATTTTAATCAAACTAACTACTAAGGCTTCCTCTATCAATGTATATGTTAGGTGAATCAAAACGGCAAAATTAGGAGAAAAACGCAAAAAAAACTCTTAGTATGTTGAGGCTTTAAGCGCAAATAAAGCATGGGCTTTGATGAAGGAAGGTGCAAAAACAGAAAACATAAAAATATGTAGTCCAAGACTAATAACTATAAGTATGAAAAACAATATATGGACAGAGAAACAGGAAAAAGAAATAAGATAAAGTGAAATGTCAAGAATTATGCTTATTGACAAGGAAAAGTATGTCTTAGAGCCTTGATGATGACATTGTGAAGCACCCGCTAAATGAAGTGAAGCGCTGAACATGTTTTGCACCTCACTTTTTAGGGCTTGAGCGCTTTTTAAGTGCACCTTTGACAACAGTAACCTCACTTTAGATTGATAATTATTTTAGCCGGTTCATGCATAAACATTCAATTTGAGATAATGTATTATTAGTGACCATCCTATATGCTAAAGTTAGAACTTTTAACAAAATTTGATGCTTAATACTTCTACTAACTAGCATATTTGCCCTCTCCCAAGACAAATTACTTGAGTTTTGAAAGATAAAAGCATTTTGCCAAATACATAAAAATTTAAGTCATCTTATTCAGTAATTTGTCTTCATTTCTTATTTAAGAGTTTCAAAGATATAAATTTCAAAAGGCACGAATAATGATTTTTAACAAAATAGTTATCCTCTTTTTTGAAATTTCATGCATATAAACTTTTTTTAGTTATAATTTTAATATGTCTGTAATAATTATACTTTAATACACTTATTTATGGATATGGCTGAGGGTCTATCAGAAATATCCTCTCTATCTTCTCAAGGAAGGTGTGAACACTGGGTTTGTTGTTGTTGTTAGTTATGGATATAACTCGTAGGGGGTGTAAGTATAGAATTTCAATAATATAGGGGTTATAACTGTTTCATTTTAAAATACAGGGGATGTATCTGAAACTGAGTCATATTACAAGGATGTTTTAGTGTAATTAACTCAATATTAAACTATTGGTTGTTTGAGGTCTGACTCTGAAACAATGGTCAAGAATAATTCCACACTTTCACTGGAATGAGAGAGTAAATTTATGCCTAGGGTAGCAGAAAAGAGTTCCACAAATCTTGCAGTAATTTGAATCTTAAAAAAAACACCTATGTTTAAAAGAAATTACACTGAGTTTTGGTTGGTTGGAATTTTTTTATAATAACTATGTTACTTCATAATACATTCTAATATTTGTTCTTTTCAGTTGACATAAAATCTTGCAATAGCAACTGAGAAATAATATACTGAGGTTCAGGGGCTGAAGAATTTAAATTGTTTTAAAAATTTAGAAAGGAAAATTAACACAAGACTTCCTTATCGAAAAGAAAATTAACATAATAATGTGTACACATCAGGAGGGATTGAGTTCAGCAATTGATTACAACCATTTGACAAACAAATTTGCAAATGTTCTAAAAAGTCAGAATGTCTATGGACAAGACACTGGTTGAAATGCAGCATTGGGACCAGGCAAGGAGGAGTAGCACCACTTTGAAACGTAAGGCAAACCATATCATCAATGCATAAAGTATTTAAGATGTTTAGCTCACCTTTATAATGATCCAAATATGATTTTCCCAACCGCCTCGTCGAGTAAAATTTCCCATTACGCAAGTCCATATCCTTTAGAGTAGGCTTTCTACTTTTGACAGATTTCCACAATCCGATATATTCCTTCTGATCGTAAGGCCTCTCAAGAAGAGCCTTGACATTCCACCAAAAATCAGAACGCTCAGTTTTCCTTGGGAAGCTATCCTCAACCTTAATATTCATTGTATCATCAATATATAAGCATCACAACAAAATAATTCCAAAAACTTCAAATTAACTAAGAAAGAAAGCAGGCATAGGGAGGATAAAATAAAATGGGGAGGAGAAGCAGAGAATGGAGGATCATACATTTTCACAGTGTTTTGATAAAGAAGCTTCCACGAGATTAGAGTCTCCTTCCTTTCCAAATGTACAATCACCACTGTCAACTATTTGAAGATCTTCATCAGCAGCCTCGCATTCAAATTTGTTACATCTTTTAAATGAGACTTCATCTACATCAGCTATCTCTTCTTTGACAGTGACATCTACTGATTTTCTCCCAGCTACATCTTCGTTTAAAGGGACATCTGCTAATTTTCTCCTTTTTCGGCCCGCCTGCTTTTTGTTTGATTTTTTCCTTTTCTCACTGTTTTCCTGCCTCTTGGATGCATCATTTCCCTTCGTGCTATTTTTCTGGCTTGTAAGCCCCTTTTTCTTCTTTTTCTTTGGAGATAGAGTATCAGAGAGCTCATGTGTCATATCTATGTCTCCCACAGATATATTGCTATCATTTTCCAGGACAGTCGTTGATGATTTCTTACTTTTTAGATTATATTTCCTCATAAATGAGGGTGTCGTGCTCCAATTCTTACATATAAATTTCTCCAGAAGATAGGAATAGTCTTCATCTATATCAACTCCCTCTTCTTTGGTAGTAACTTTAGCTGATTTTCTCCCTTTCCCTTTCTTCTGCTCCTTATTTGATCTATTCTTCGTCTCACCCTTCTGACGCCTCTTGCACTCACCATCCTCCCCCAAGCTAGGCTTCTGGCTCGTAAGCCCTTTTTCCATCGGAGTAACAGGATCAGAAGGCTCAAATACTGCATTGTTGTCTCCTGCAGATCTATTATCATCATTTTCCAGGACAACTCTTGAAAATGGCTGACTTTCTACTTTATCTTTGCAACTGACATTACCTAAATCCTCCTCATCCCCAGAACCCTGCTGTTTTCTCTGTCCTAAATATTCAAACTCTCCATCAGATCCATCCTCTTTCTCAAACTCTACAAACACAGGAAACCCAACACTTCTATCAATTTTAACCATATATGAGTTCCCATTTGGTTTAGCATTAGCCAAAAACTTCCTGTAGTCTGGATCAATATCCTCATCCTCGTCTTCATCATCCTCATACTCATTCACATCCTCATCCATGTCATAATTAAACCTATCTCTAGCAACAGAGGGACCTTCCTTTCCGCCTTCATTTGTGCAACACTTAGACTCTTCATCATAGTCAAGGAGAAGCATCAAATACTGTACATAATCTTCATCAATATTCCTTGTTTTTCTAATCTGCCTTTTGAAACGAAAAATATCACTATTTTCAAACTCTGATTCCTTATTCCAAGAGTATGCCCTCTTTCTCCCTAAACGGGATATGTCAAACAAAATATCACAGCCCTCCAATCCCCGTCGCACCATTTTAATGGGATTCAGATTTACTAGCAAACAGACAGAGAAACAACTTCACTCCTATACCCCACTTATCCCCACATCCACAGACAAACAAATCAATTACTACCTTTCTTGAAGCTTCTTACAGTCCATTATCAAGACATTTTCTGAAAAAATGATTAGAGGCAAAAGAAAAGGAATATACTCAAAGTAACTTGTCAAAAACTATTTGTACCAAAAAAAAAAAAAAAAGGAAGGCCTACCCCGTACATGAAATGAAATACTCCCCAGGGTAGAAGGGCGGGCATATATTATCAGCAACTTTTCCATTGGATTTATGCAAAGAGGCTGTTTCCACGCATTGAACACATAACCTGCATGTAACCAAAGGAGCAACTTCGTAATTGTGCCAATGTATGTTCTGTACTAAAAATGTTAACCATACCTAAAATAATTGAATTTTTACATTCACACGCATCTGAAATTATAAGAATTTATAAGTTGTTAAAAGTTCCATAAAATCCAACTGAAAGATCATTGTTGAGGGGAAAAGAGACAGCTTTTAATACAAATCCATGAATTAACTCACTGTGAATGAAAATTGAAACATACAGCCAAAAAGAGTGAAAATGTAGCAAAAAAGAGCAAAATCAAAGCTAAGACAAAGAAAGGGCATAACTTGATTGGCTGCTAAGCTTTAGACGGGTTGTTCGCCTCAATGATTCCATTAAAAACAAAGATTTTCAGTACCCAGAAAACCCAAATACATATAATATAATGTATATCACTTAACAGAACTTATACAATCCCATGAATTAACTCACCATGAATGGAAATTGAAACATATAGCAAAAAGAGTGAAAATTGAGGGCCTGTGCACCCCCGGGATTAGTCGGGGCTCAAAGAGACTCGGACACCCGGTGCAAATCAAAAAAAAAAAAAAAAAAAAAAAGAGTGAAAATTTAGCTGAAACACGTATAGCAAAAAAAGATTGAAATTTGAAACATATAGCAAAAAAAAGAGTGAAATCAAAGCTGAAGATAAAGAAAGGGCATAACTTGATTGACTACAAGATTATTCGCCTCAATGATTCCATCAAAACGCAAGATTTTCAACACCCACAAACCCCCAAATGCATATATACAGATATAATATAAATCACTCAACAAAACTTAAACAATCCCATGAACCAAAATTGAAAGATACAGCAAAAAAGACTGAAAATTTAGCTAAACATAAACCAAAAAAGATTGAAACTTGAAGCATACAACAACAAAAGAAGACTGAAATCAAAGCTGAAAACAAACAAAAGGCATAAATGGACTTCTCACCATCGCAGATAAGAAGGAAAAAATCAGCAGCAGCAGCGTGAATAACAATGGCTGTTCTTTAACTAAATTCTTTTTGTGGAGAAAAAAAAAAAAACGAAAAAGACCCCACTTCTGTTCTACTACTAAAAAACTTTGTTAATTATAATTTAATACTTCCAAACATTCTTATAGTTCTCTTTTTTTTTCCTTTTGGGGTTTTTGTTTTCTCTAATTTTCTATTATTAAGTGCTAATTAAAGGTCCTTGTAAATTGTAATATGACTCTATTTATTTATTTTTAGATGTGCCACTTGTATTTTAAAATCAAACATGCATATCCTTTATGCTATAAAAAAATTATATTTAGACATTCTAGAAGTATATTAATTTTAATATTTATGAATTTATTTTAATGAAATTTCATGAAGAAGATAAATATTTTTGCTAAATATCTTTATTGACGTATTTTCCTATTATCTTAAATTACATTAGAAAACTATTTATTTATAATTCCAATTTATATTTCAATACACTTAATTTTGAATATAAGGTCTTAAGTGTAGAATTTCAATAGTCTAGTTGAATAAGTTATAATAAAAGTAAATTGAGTTTCAAAATATATATTTGATTTTGTAAATCCTCGATAGACACTATATAATCTAAATTTGAAATCAATACACCAAAGTTACTCTAAGTAGGCGTTTGGCCATGCGATATCATATCACGATATGGTGTCGTGAGATGAAATCAGCGTTTGGACATGCGATTTTACGCTGATTTCATCTCATGATTCCATATCATAAGAGGTGATATCATATTCTCCAAAAACCATGATATGGAATCACCATGTGATTTCATATCATGATTTGAGATATTTTAATACAATAATTGATCCATGAGTTTATATTTTGTTAAAACAACCCCACATTTATATCTACTAACCATTTGTTTCATATGTAAATAAAATTTATAATCACATCATTATTTTTTAAAATTTATTATTCTCACCAATATAAAATTTATTATCACTTTAAATTTGATGAATATAAATGATAAAATAGAAATTCATTTGGTGAATATAAATGAGAACAAAGGGAGTAATACTTTTTTGATTTTTCATAATAAAAAAAACGTTTTAATCTTATGACTAAGCATAATATTGATAAAAGACAATTTTCATTGGCGGTGCCGCACTTTCTTAATCTTAGTATTTGCAAAATGTTCGTTCACATGACTGAAGGATATCAAGTCCAATTGATTGAGGACTTAGGAAAATTTGATCAATTAGTTATTAATATTTAGTCAAGTGGACTAGTTATAATTTTTTTGATTAAATTTTATTAGAAGTGTTTTTGACTCAAACTTGTGGTAACTTTTTAAAATTTCGTTATTCAATAATATTTAACTATTGATTTTTCTTGTAAATAGTTAGAAGTTAGTGATGTTTGTTAATTTTTATCTTAGTGCATTTAACTTCTAAGTTAGTATTTACTCACTAATGTATGTTTTTTTTCTACTTTATAGGTTATTTGTAAGAGTAGTTGAGAGATATGAACATATCAAGTACAATTTATGTTTAATTTTTTTTAATTAAATTAAAGTTAGATGAAACAATTATTTAACTAAAGAACAAATAACTTTGTAATAATTTATTATGCGATTTTATAATTTTTGTTTATTTGATAAGATTGAATAAACAATTGGGGCTATTTTAATAGTTTTACAACTTATGGAATTTTTATGTTTATGAGAAAATATACAACACAAAAATTCCATATCACATGTCCAAACAAACCTTCAATTTCATCTCATGATTACATATCATGATACCATATCATGATTTCATATCATGATACCGTATCGCATGGCCAAACGGGCCCTAAAAAAGATTCCGTTCAATGATATTCTTTGATAGTTGTTCGTGGTGAAAATTTCTAATATGACATATATTATACTAATATTTTCGAGTTATAGCAGTAGATTTAGACTTTCAAGTTATAACATTAAAAATTTCAGGTTGTAACATATTATTAAAAAATAAATAAATTTAGTAATTAAAAACATTTGATTTAAAAAGAATAAAAAGATGAAAAAAAATTAAAATAAAACGTTTTTGAAGGAAAAAATGAAAAAAAACGGAAATAGGGATTATCTTAAATTTGAATTAATTTAAGATAATTATTAATTAGCATGAATTAAGGGATTTCAAACTAATTAAGAATATTCAGTTTCCTTAATTCACTCCAATTTGTTAAAATTAATTTAAAAATAAGATTTTATCCATTTTTCTTTCACGTTTCTCTCTCTTTGTTTTTCTTCCAGAAATTGTCACTGGCAACAAATTGAATTTTTTTTTTGTTGAAAAAACGTGTTTTTTTTGTGATGGACAACTACATATCAGTATTAATTAAACATGGCGGAAGATGGGTTGCTTCAGGTGAGTATTTTTAATTGTTTACTATTTTTATTTGGATTTCAATGAAATAGAAAAAAAAAAATGAAACTGTAAATCGCCACTATATTGAATGTGATATTTTTTTTTGTATAAACAATACGTTTTGTTCATAATACTTATTAGTTGTTGTGAAATTGTAATATTAGTGATTTTCTTGGTAAGTTTCTGTTTTTTGGTAGTGGTTTAGTGTCACCATATTATTGATAACTGGTTTTTTTCTTGGTAAGTTTCTGTAATATTATTGATTACTGGGTTTTTTCGTGAAAAAATTAATTAAAATGTATAGTTTTGAATGAATTTGTTAGTGTAATTGTAATTAATTTGGTACGAAAGTGTATTGAAGAATTGTATGACAGTTGTTTTAAGTGGGTATGAAAGTGTGTTAACTAGTTAGTAAAAAAAGTTATTTTGAAGTTTGAATAAGTGTATTAAAAATGTTTTAAGTTGGTATGAAATGTGAAATGTTATTGTTTATATAAGTTTTGTCAATTATGTATAAATTTGTGTGAAAGGAATGAACTATTTGGTATGAGAAATGTATAAATTTGGTATAAATGATGATTGTATGTATATTAAGTGGGTATGAAATCTGAAATTTTATTTTTTAATGAAATATGTTTGTAGTTTACTGTTTGAATGATTTTTGTATGAAAAAATAATGACAAGTGTGTATAATTTTGTTTTTTTTTTTGTATTATGTAAGACTAATTGTTATTTTTTTTATTAATGAAACAGGGAAATATGTTGATTTTCAGATGGAGGGGATTATATATGAGTATTCTAGTCTTTATAGTGGTCTAGTAAGTGGATAACATCTCAACTAATGATAGATGTTAATATTCACAATATAGAGATGAAATATATAGTTAGTGATAGATGTCCCCCTGTTAGTATCCACAATGATGTTGGTGTGCGGGTTTTTTTAGATCAAAAGAAAGCTAATGTAGATTTCTTTACGATTTCATATACTTGGAAATAAAATTTATTCCAAATTAATATATAAGATAGTGTAACTATTTGTACAGGTTTCAGATTTCAGATTTCATATACATGATTCATTAATTATTCATACAGATTTCATATACTAGAAAATAAAATTTATTTCAGATTAATATATAAGATAGTGTAAATATTTGTACAAATTTCAGATTTTAGATTCCAGATTTCATATACGCGATTCATTAATTATTTATACAGATTTAATATACTTGGAAATAAAATTTATTCCAGATTAATATATAAGATAGTGTAAATATAGTGTAATATATAACAAACTTTATACCAATCTTATTCAAGTTTCATTCCAACACGAACTTCAGTTTATATCACACATATTATACTAACAATAAATCAATTTCATATAATCACACAATGTATATCATTTGTATAACAATATTATATCACAATTAATACAATATCCAACCATCAAACATTAAATTGAGTGTCATACACATATTAATCAAATTTCACACATGTTTCATCCATTAATTGTACAATTTGGATTCACACTGATATTTTAAAATAGTGAATCCAAATGGTATGAAAACTGTATATTACTAGTATCCTAAAATTATAATAGCCAAACAGTAATTCATATGTAGATGGTATCTGATTGGAAGAAAACATATGATATTATATATCATCAAATACTTAAATACAAAAAAGTTGTTCAAAAGTAAAAAAAAAAACATGTAATTCTAAAAAAGTAGAAGGTGCAATCA